TATATAGCCAGGGGTTAGCCAGGGGTATATGTAGTTTTTTATTTGCTTTGTGTTGTTTTGTTTTTTCACAAATCAGCAGTTATTACAAGGAATTTGTCCAAAAAGGGCAAGTCTGACAATGTTCCAAAATGTACTGACCAGATGGTATGGTTTTCTCCTCAGTTTTATATGTTACTGTAGCTAAGTGTCTGTTAGAAGCCAACGCTGCTGACACAGTGGAACATTTCTGTTTCCATCAACTAAAGGCCAAAATGCAGCAGCTTCTTATTTCACTAAATCCTTTTATTTTACTTTGTAAATATGATTCTTCTATRTTGCTAAGATTATCTTAAAATTGATGGTTATTAGGACATATTGTACAGCAAATAGCTGTATATGTTCTGCCTGCAACTAAAATAAATACATACTAAATAACACAAAATAATMTTATTTTTTGTTTTCCCTTGTAATAAAGTCAGAACAAAAATCATTTTTTTAAAATATTTATTCTTATATGGACATCATAAAAGCATATCAAGCAAACTCTAGCAATTAAAACAAGACTAAACCTAAACTATAATGGCAACTCTGGTTCTAATGGATTGAATAATACTCTTGATGCAATCAATGAAAAAATGCTTTTACAAACAAGCCAGCTCCTGATAATTAAATATCTGACCCCTATTTACAAAATGGTAACTTGATAATTATTAATGATATGTATCCAGGGCTGGACTCCCAGTGCAGTCTAGACATTTGAAAGTCTAAACAAATAGTTTAACCCAGGAACTCAAAATGACTTTTATTGCCTTCACTACTTTGAAACATGGTTGGTATGGGACTCATTTTTTGGAATGCTAAACACCAGTTTCCAAACAGGGATGTAAAAAAATAAATACAAATAAATAAATCAAAGACATTATTTTTAATTTTGTCACATTGCTCAGCATACTGTAAATCTTTGTTCATGTTTTCATTCTTTGTGAATGTGCCTAGCAGAATGTTAGGAGTGATGTTTTGGAATGTCATTTCTCTTGTCTTTACAGACCCACTCGCCAACAAAATCAGTCCAGAAACAAACTCTGTGCTTTTAGATGCATATTAAACTAGAAGTCATTAGGTGTCTGGTTATGAACACACACCAGAGAGAGTTTATGACTTTATGAAAAACTCAAGTTCAGATAAAACAAACTCAAGTACGAAGACAGACCAAAACATGATGCTTTTCACAAAAAGAAAAAAAAAGAGGTGAGTCTGTCAGTTTTGTACAGTCATAGTTTACAGACAGAAGCCAAAAGGTCGATATCAGAAACAAAAAGCTCTAAAAGCATCAATCTGCTTAGGAGTCAGACACTTCGTCAATGACACAGTACCACCTTAAAAGGTCCTGCATAAACACAGAGACAGCCAGACAGACAGAGACAAAGAAGATCCAATACCCCACACATTATAATTGCTCCCATGTGTCTGAATGTGAGTGTAAACACACCCGAGTCTCTGTGTCTACTCCAAACCTTGTATCTACTCTGTAATCAGAGCCACTCAAACAAGAAAAAAGCATATGGAAAGAGTAAAGTCAGCTATGTCATGCGACCAACATCAAATATTCATGCTTCAGAGGGAAGTGGGTGACAGGCCTACAGATGAGGACATCAACTAGTACCATCAATGCCAGTTTGGTCATATTATAGCACCTTCTTGGGTTCCAGTGGAGGACATGTTGTAAATTTGATAGCTATACAGAAAGATTATGTGCCCTATTTGTGACTTAAATGACCTGAAATTGAGTAACAGTCTGAAACTTCTTGGTTTGCATGTTTGTGCAGATATTTGTGTGCATTTTTGATATTGAAGCATTTAAATCAATATTGAATTGAAATCAAATTGTGACCCAAGTAATTTAAATTGAATATAATTGTGAAGTTGTTAACAAAACCCAACCCTACTGTGAAGGAGTAAAGTTTGTTTTAAGCATGCATTTTAGTTTTTCTTACTGATATAGTGAGTAACATTCATGGTTATGTTTTGTCTGGTCTGAGTTTATGGCATCAGGACTTAAGAAAATACCTCATAAAAGATGGAGGGGATAAAATAGTGTTGATTAAAGGGTCTTCGAACAATGGCTGCTGTCTTGGCAGCACATTTCTCTCAAGGCCTGTGATTCTGTTATTCTGTTGACTCTAAAGCCATGTCTGAGGTCATTTTTAACCTTTGGCAGACAATCTGGGACTGAAACCTTTAGAAAGAGAGAAAACTACTCCATATTTCCTAATCTACCTTTTACTGTCCTTCTCAAATCCAACGTTAAGCTACGTCAATAAAATTAGCACAGATGGTGTCAGTGGTCACGCAGAAAACATATTTTCATAGTTTCAAGTGTCAGCTGATGTGTGCAAGTTGTGCTGACAGGATGTGGTTAATGACACATCCTTACAGGATCTGAAGAGCTGGAAAGACCAAACAATATTGAATCAAGAAATGAAAGCTGAGAAGACCAAGCAACAGAAAAAAGACGGTAACGATGATGTGGTTAGTTCACCCACATWGTCAACACAACAGGAAGTGGTTGCATGACATAGTGGTGAATGTGAAGATCGGCTCATCTATTAATATCTCAAATATGCCCATCAGATGCTGTGCCAATGATATTGATACATGCTGGTTATTTGATGAAGTCATGCAATAAAACAGAGCATGGTGAAAATACTCTGTGAAACAGCTGACATTCTTTGTGACTGTTTTATGTTGCAACAACATGAACTGCTTTTTACAAAACAAAATAAAAAAAATGATGGCAGGATAAAAGCAAATTCTAAATAATATTGAATATGTCTGACAGAACCTAACGTAAGAATTTTTAAGACACAGAAAATAGCCCAACTTTGAAATAAAAGAGCAAATACCAGAAAGAGCTAATTGTGTGAATGCTATTAGACATTGACATTAAACTTTTTATGCTTCTTTCAGCTGTGCTACATCTGAGCTATTTTCAACTTTATTTAGCCTTTTTCAGCTAAACTTGTGCTTTGAGCTCCGACTGGGCTTGATTACGAATTATATAAGTTCAGACTATTACCATTTAAATTTACCATTGTGATAGGGCTGGGCGGTATGACCTCAAATTCATATCACGGTATAAATTGAATCCCTTCACGGTAACGGTGTATATTGCGGTAGAAAACTATCATAAAAAGTAAAGATAATGTAGATTTTAGAGCTTTTTTTTTTTTTTTGCAGAAAACTAATCTTAACCAAACCCAACATTTTTTGCTTAAATGTGAGCGTACCATACAGTGAGCTTCTGCCTGCTGAACTTATCAGCTGCTGCTCTGCTGCACGCTCATCTTCATCATCAGAGCAGAAACCGACTTTACATTAGCAAGATGGATTTATGACTGAATGAACGTCCACGTCTTTTTTCTCATCTCTGTGGTGGGTAACAATACATAAAAACAAGTTTTTTCTCTTACAACTTGGGTGTGAAAAAACTTGTTATTAAAGCTTCGCTCTGCGCGACGTGGAGGGAGGGAGGAAGGAAATGATCCTGACGTAACTTTTCTGCAGCGGGAGGGGGAAATTTTCAGGATTTTTTCTCTTTACGTGTTTTAAAACACTATTTCTTCGTTTTATTTCAAAATCCTCCTGCTCAGTTGCCTCTGCACTCACAGTCCTGTTCACACAAGTGCGATGACGTAATGACGATTGGACGGTAGAGGGTAAATTTCTACCGTAGGCCAACTTCATAACGTTTCTACCGTCTACCGCACATACCGCGCAGCCCTACTTTGTGATAATTTCTATTACTTACTGCTTAATAATCAATTCAATACAATACAATACAACTTTATTTGTAAAGGGCTTTAAAACAATCCCATTGGCCAAAGTGCTACATGATTAAAAACACATTAAACATACACAAAACAATAAACTATGTAAAATTAGCCAATATGTAATATCATCATAAAAACAAAAACATTAAAACCAACATCTCAAACTGAGTTAAAAGCCAGGGAGAAAAAAAAACGTGTTTTAGAGCTGATTTAAAAACAGAAAGTGAGTAATACAGAAAACATATGAGCTTTGTGCTAGATTCAGTTTTTTCAGCCAATTCTTTTGCTAATTTCAGCTTTTTTGGCAAAAATCTGCCAGCATTAAGCATATACACTGCATTTTCATGAATTTTAAGGTGATCTTGCCTCACACAGAAATTTACTATGAGTAATAAAAAAAACTAAAAAAGTAATATGTACAGATTACCAAGTGCTCTGTTTGCAACCTTTACAGGCTCATACTGATGGATTTAGTAATGAATACTTTACAGTGTTTTAGTTACTGGCACAGGACCAGCCTCAGTGAGATTTGGTGAGGCATTACATGTCTTTACTTCATTGCTTATGCTTATATCCATATCAATTATTAAGCAACAAATTCAGTTAGAATTGACAATATGCTTTGTCTAAATCAACTGCATGCTCATTTAAGGCAATCTCTTTACTTGATTTCTTGGGAGTCTGTGCTCTCCAAGTCCCAGATATTGCCAGTGCCGCAGATCCATTACCTTCAAGGAGGAAGGGAAACTATGATACTAAGATTTCCTTCTTGTGCAACACATGCTGGCAGCATGGCGTTTAAATGATTCAGACATTTCTGTGGTCATCACTGCGGTCGTGCCATTCATCAGTGTCCTGCATTAACTTCACAGGGACATTTTCCGACTCCTCACATGTAACGTAATTACCAGTGTCGAAAAGGGTGGGGCCGGGAGAAGCTGCTAGCACAATGAAGACAGACCTTTTATTTCCTTCCTGAACTCATGCTCATCTTTACTGATAAAAAAACCTTGAACGTGTCACACGCCTTTGCCACCTAAAAACATACATTTTTGTAATTTTACAGGATAGAAAAGAAAAAGAAAACACATAAAGACACAAACAGTTATTCACCTGGAGGTCGAAAAACTTGCTGTAGCGTCTGTATATGGTTTCTGTACTGCCATCGCCCCAGGAGACTTTGATGATGTAAACCTGTAAAAGTAAATAAAATATGTAAAAATACAAAGAAATTGCAAGCAACCTACATTTCCAGGCTGTTTGAGGTGTCACTTCTATATTGTTGAAAATTCTATGAGGCCAGATGTAGAAAGGCAGACTCACGCTCTTAGTTGGCCTACATCAGTCATCAACCTCTATTATTGTCTGTCCACATGCAGTCAGCAAGAATATCCCATTATTCAACTTCCTAAAGTATTTGAATCACTTCCTGTTGAGGAGTGGGTCATTATCCTGTATGGATGCAGAGGACTGACTAGTGTGGCTCTTTACGGGATATTGCTATGACAGGCATTGTGTCAGAGAAGTAAAGGAAAGAACAGCTGCTATTTAAAAAAAACATTGTATTAATGGTAAATGCAAATGATAGGGGCCGTGCGGCAGCTTGGTGGTTAGTGTAGCAGTTTTGTAAATCTGAGGTTGCAGGTTTGAGCACAGGTTGCATCCACATGGGCATCCTACATACAGCAATTGGCAATCTCATGTGCAAGTTTACTCACCATGATGACCATCATAAATCATGACCCCCATAAAAAATAAATAAAAAAATAAAAATAAAAGCTTATCATTCTAATATGAAATATTGTGTACTAACACAACACATGGATTCTAATCATTGAGGTCTGGAGGAAACAGACACTGCTCTCAGTCTGTTATAAGATTTTAAAAAATGGGTGGAGAAGGAGGTGATTGGAAACTCCCTGGTGGCTCACTTTGTCTGGCTGACTGCTGCTGGCCTTACTCCCAGACCTCCTCTGGGACTTGCTCTCTATTCCAGGGCAGCAGAGTTAGATGTTGCCATGGATGAGAGCAATACAGACAAGCAGGGGGAGGTTTGACTAAAAAAAAAAAAAGGTACAGTCTACACTGAGCATGTGTCTGTAAACACAAGGGACAGATGTCGACCTATACAATATAATAACAACTTTAGACCAACCATATAGATAGCTGGATTCTATTTTTATTTAAGCAACAGTCAAAATAAACATACAAATGTTTGCTAAACCTGTTGAATATCACAAATTCAACATGTCTTTAAAATACTTGACTGGGATGAGCAAAAAAGCAGATTTTATTATTATTTTTCCCTAAGATACTTCATAAGCAGCAACAGGCCCAAAAAAGAGAAAAAAAAAAAAACAACCCAATGAGCACTAAACAAGAGTTACACAACAGAGCAAACAGACAGATGGAGAAGACACAGGACCGCTAGCATGGAGCGTCCTTGGCCACAAACTCCCAGCCGCCTGTTGGTCCCACGTTTGAATTTTACACAAAGTATGGATGCATAGCAACGTAAAGAGAACACACATGCAGAGACACAATATGGACACTTTTGTTCTGCTGCCATCCGTTCCTTGTTTTTGGATTTCTCACTCACATGATGTCATACAGTTTATAGTGTGGGTTTACAGGCAAATTCCTGCACGTTTATTTTCTCCCACTGCTCAAGTCAAGACCAAACTGCTAAAAGTGCCATTGTGTCTAGATGTTAGAAATGATTCTTTGTCTTTTTGACATTCTTGGCAATCAGTCAAACTTTGTAGACTGAGACTGTTGAGATGGTAAAAAATAGTCTTGTGTTCTCAGAACTTGGAAGTAGAATACAAATCCCTAGAAATGGATGGACAAGTTAAACTTCTGGTCCAAATGCACCARTACTAGCACGGTGAACTGGTAATAATTTGGTGATATGATGCATATCACAACACAACAAAACAATATATTGCCATTTTTAAACTCAAAAAGACTAATAAAAAACCTCAGTAGGCTAAGTGTAACACGCATATGCATACAATCTGATTAAATTCAGTAATTATAGGCCCATTCCATTTTTGAACAATGCTGTCACTGCCTTAATAAATATTTATATTTCCTGGTCATGCCTGCAGGCTTGTTTTGAACTGATGCATGACAAAGCTTAATATGGCTCTGGWGGGTTAGCAGACACAACACTTTGCCTGAAGTGTTTCCGGAGGGCTTTATCAGACAAAAGAGGAGACAAAACTAAAACCAATATTCAGATTTTTTTTTTTTCAATTTGTTGTTGAGTTTTACTAAATGCACGTTTATTTGAGAATCAGTTGGAATTACGCAAGGARCACAGGTCAGATGAGCCAAAAATCGCAACTAAATCTCACAAAAGTAACGGATTTATTTTGWTGAGCAAAACAGGGAAAATAAACAAGGACTATTGTCTCTTTCTCACTTTTCACCTTCTAAGTAGATTTATTTGCCAATTCTGGTTTTAAAAGCTGAAATGATCTCAAACAAGCCCGATCCAAATGTTCTATGCAAAAGATAAATGTTGGGCAAGTATTTTTTTTTCCTCCTCCGACTCTCTGTAACTTGACACTCTTTCTTGTTATTAGGGTAGGCTACTTGTCCCTGCACCGCAGAATAACCTCTTTCTGTTGTTCTGTAAACGCAGCGTTGTGTTGCTTTAATAGTCCAAACAAATCTTACGTAGTGTTTGCTTGGAATCCTTCGCTTCTGGACATCTTGCACGGTTACTTCTTGCACGGTGYGCCGCGGCATGATGTCCTCTTTTACTTTCCGTTACCGAACGCAGGAAAGCCCTGGAAGTTTCTTACGAGCGATCACACCCGGTTAGAAAGTTCTCTCCTTTTTTTATTCACCACCACCGATCTTCTTTGTCATCCGCTCTGTTGTGGTCCGTGATTCCTGATTATAACAAAACGCGCTTTTCCGTAAAAGTCTGCGTCAAGATTTCCTGTCCAGCATTCATCGGAAGCTCTCGGGTTTGTCGGTTCCTTTCCCACCCTCACACTTTTTTCTTTCTTTATTTCCTTCTTTCTTGTCCCGGCTCGCTGAGGGTTCCGACCAAACTCCCAGCCTATCCCAGCTCGCCCACTCTCATGTGAGCAGCTGGAAGTCTCCACTCGGCTCTCTGGACCGGCCCACCCCGGCGTCACAGCACAAACCACAGGCTGCCGGGGTCAGTGTGTTTCACTGAACTCTGTTGGGAGGGTGGGTTCCAGACAGAGTCCAGAACCAAGAGTGAGTTTACCACGTCTTTTATTATCAAAAGCATAATAATGGTAA